TTTTTTATAATAAAAAATAGCATTTAAGTTTTAATAATAAATTAATATTAGTATTTATATAATTTTTTAATTCTTATTATATTAAATTTACTATATAGATTTTAAACAAAATGAAATTATGTTTGTTATTATTGAAATATTTACATTTATATTTCTTAAATATATGATTTATTAATAAGGTTACTTGTCTAAACTCATTTTAAATTTGATAAAATATTTAAATTTTAGTTTTGCTAAGTTTTTATTAAAGTTTTAATATAATTTTGCATTTTTATAAGCTTGATATAATTTACCTTTTCTAAAGTTTTACAGATTTTTTAAGTAAATTTTAATATAATTTTGCTAAATTTTACCTTTTATTATTTAGATGACTTGCAAAATTTTAAGTTTTATTTAGCAATCTTATCTATTAAAAGTTAAGTTGATATTTTATAACTATACTTTTTTTTACATAAATTACAAATTATTATTACAATATTATTTATATTACTATATTTTTATACATATATTTTTAAATAGCTAAAGTATTTTTTTTTGTTCTTATTAATATTAAATATATTCATATTATCTTCTTTTATAGTTTAAAAATAAATAGTTTATTAAAATTAAAGTCAAAATTTTCTTCTATTTCTTTAAAGCTTTTATTGATACAGCATATTCATTATTTGATATGTTAAATAAAAAAATATTAATCAAATTTTATGTTTAAATATATAATTTAATATTATTTATCTTAAATGATATTTTAATAGTAGTAATTCTAATATTAATTTAACCAATTTTTAAATAAAATTAAGTTTTAATTAAATATAAATTAGAATTATAAAATTGGATTATTTTTGTGAAATTTTAGTTAGATCATATAAATTTAAAATATTGTTAATTATTCAGAAAATTTCTTTATAAATAATTAATAATAAACTTAAAAATTAATTAAAGATAAATCAATGATGATTATAAAATATTATTATTGAAATTATTTTTATTTAAAAATAAAATATTTGAAATAATTTAAAAATTTAATAATTTTATCAATCTATATTTAATAGATAATTTATGTAAATAAATTATATATAATATATAAAAATATAATTATGATTATAATTACAATTATTAAATAATTTTGATAAAATAGAATTACTTATTTGAAAATGTTTTAAATTTCTAATATATATTGATATAATTTTATATAAATTTATAAAATATTTTTTTTTCTTTTTTCTTTAATTGTCAAAAAATTAAATTTAATAAATTTCAAAATTTTATTTATTTAAAATGATAAATACAATTAATTGAAATAATAATAAAATTATAAAGTAAGTAAAATCTTAATTAAGAAATTACAATATAATTGTATAAAATAAAAATTATAAATAATCAATATTTGAACTTTATATAAAGAAATATGAAAGAAAGGTAAAATAAAATGTTAAGAAATAGAACAATTTCAATTAAAATTTTTTTTTGAAAAAATCTGATAAATATTTAAATATATTTTATTTGATATTTATACTAAAATTTAATCAAATTTAAATTTTATTTTTAATTTTTCAAATAGAAGATAGAAGGTAATACAAATTAAAATAATAAATAGAGAGTCTTCAAAAGTTTACATATAGAAATTTTAATCATATTTTTATTAAATAAGCAAATGATTTACAAATAATAAATATTGTTTCTAAAATAGTAAATTAAATTTTGTATTAAGCTATTTATTATTTGATTGGACTACCATTTTCATCTAAATATTGTTAATGTGTAATTCTTGCGAACTACAACTATTAGACAGGATGTTCGAGCGGTTTATTCTTTTTAATTGAGCAGTAATCTTTCAACAATTTTACAAGTCTAACTCAGACGATTTATCAATATATTTATATTATCACAACGAGTTACAATTCAACAGATCGCCAATAATATATATTTGTAAATATTGTGTTTATTTACAAGTAAAAAAATAATAAAAAGAAAAGAAAAGAAGAGTAATACTAAAACTAAAATGTAGTGCGATAGGCCTAGTTGCCTCTAAACTGTAGTGTAATATGATAGGCCTGGTTGCCTCTAAACTATAATATAATGTGATAGGCCTGGTTGCCTCTAAACTGTAACGTAATATAATAGACTCAGTTGCCTCTAAACTGTAATGTAATGTGATAGGCCTGGTTACCTCTAAACTTTAACGTAATGTAATAGGCCCAGTTACCTCTAAACTGTAACGTAATGTGATAGGCCTTCAGAATTGGTTACCAATATCAGCTAATAATACCTTACTCACTGCTAAAACTACTCAAGCTATCTTCTCCCCCTTTTTACATGAATTAACAAGTTACTTATTTATATAAAATATATTATATAGAAAAATATAACTAACATGTCTAATATATCAATTATGTCAACTATGTCAAATATGTTAACTATGTTACATATGTCACATATGTCTGACATATCTAATATATCAGTTATGTCATATATGTCTAACATGTCTAACATGTTAATTATATAATATATATCTGTTATATCTAATATGTCGTTTATATTGATCATGTCTGCTATGTTATATATATTAGATAAATCATTTATAAATTAATCATTCTTCTGCGCCACATAAGCTGCATCACATTTACCTATTCACAATATATCATCATTATCGCAAATATAATAAATATCACAAAACTTGCAAAAATTGTAAATTCTACACAATTTGTTTTATGCATTCATAATTTGAGATGAATGGCTTGCCCAAAGCCTCAACCTTAACCTGATCAAAAATTTATGAGATAAAATTAAAAAAAACCTTTAAAGCTAAAATATAAAGCCTATTAACCTTTTTTTACTTAAATAACAAGTACGAAAAGGTTTGAAAAATAATTATTTCTAAAAAATTAAAAATTTAATCAAAAATATACCTTAATGAATTCAGTCAGTAATTAATGCAAATGGTGGTCTGACTAAATATTAAACCCTTAATAAAATTTATATTTTAATAGTTTAGAAACATTATTTATTATTTGTAAATTTCTTAATTGCTTAATAAAATTTTGAGAAAATTTATATGAATAAAGTGTGCATAACCTTTTGAAGATTCTCTGTAAATTTTAAGTTCAAATATTTTAAACTTATTTTAAAAATATTTCTTGTTCTTCTAACTCTTCTTTTTACGAAGTACTATTTTATCATAAAGATTTGTTTCACTATTATTACTATATAATACTAAAATATTATCACAAATTGAAAATCCTTTATATTATTTTATTTTTTTTAAATCTAATTATTATTTCAACTATTATTACTCTTTATTTTTGATTTTAAACAAAATTTTTAACTATTATTTTCTTTAATTATTATTTTTTTTTTTTTTTTCCATTTTTTCAAATTAATTTTACATTCAGTTTTTTTTATAGTTTTTTTTTTCTGATTTTTTGTTAAAAAAAAAAATTTTTTTTCTAAATGAAGTTTGTCATCTCTACATGATATTTAGGATCAACAATTATAGGCTAATCTATATCTGGTCAAGAGCAAACATATTTTAACATTTATAAATTTATTCTATTTGTAATTTTATTTTTTATTTTATTTATATATCATTATTATAATAAATAATAGAATAAATAACATGCAAAACAAAAATTTTATTGTTAAGTTTTTATTTTATTGATTTCAAAATAATAATAAAAACTTTATTATTTAGATTTTTCTAAATAAGTTATCAACTATGGCTGAAACTGCGGCTGAAATCAGTTAACCCAGTGTTGGTATTTGGCCGTGAACAATGGCCAAAATGTTTAAACAGCCAAATTTTGGCCAAATAACTAAGTATTAATAAATGTATTAAAACTTATTAGAATTTGATAAGCATTTGGTCATGGTCAAAGGATTTTTTAGCCATTTTAGCCGGCCAAATGGCCAATGGCCAAAGGTCTAACCATATTGAATCACGTGATAAAACCGATAGTTATCGCGGTTCTTCCAAACTGATTCAGTTCGGTTACACAACCGGTTTAAACCCGGTTTATCTTTAACCCTATGTGAATCATGCGAACTAAAGAGAAATTGCGTAATCGAATTGATGATATAGGATTGAATATTATTAGATTAATTCAGAACTTGATTATAATTTGTTCGCCAAGTTGCTTTGAAGAGGATTCCCTAATTTGAAAGCAGAATTAATTAGAATTAATTGTATAATTAATTAAATTTTGGCGATTTATTACGTGTATAAGCAAGATTATCAAAAGTACCACTAGGTTATTTCCTGAAATTTCTCAAAAAGGCTAATTGCATACGTACATTTGTTTCCTATAAAAGGTTAAGACTTATGTGGGCATGAATTTCCGTTCACGTTATATTGATCGTCAATATCGACAATAAAAAGAAAACATTGGTTCTTGGAAAAAAAAATTCACGTCGAGTAAAATGTTGGTTATCTACCCTGAAACCCCCCTGAAATTATGCGCATATTTCCATTTCAGGATACAATTGGTGTCAAAAAAAGAATGAATTTTCTCCTCGTAAAATAGAAATCGTTTTTGTTTATTAAGAAATGATGTTTGTAATCTTTCATTAGGAAAGTACTTTATTTGTAAACAGACTTGTAACTTGATCTTTGAATAAAAAGCAGGGGAAAACAACATCGTGCCACAATATCGAGATCAAATTTAGAAAAGAAAGATATAAACGGCGCGAAAGATTTTAAAGTTTATTATCGCATTAAATGATACTTTTGTAAATAAAGGCACCGTGTTATAGCATAATCGTAATTTCCGTTGTGGTAAAAATACCGGGTCAAATAGATGTCACAAAATCGGAGTTTTTTTTTATTATTTATATTGCACGATAAAAATAAAATATGTATAATTATGTGTATAAATTTTGTGCTCCCATTTTTTTTTTTCTTTCTTTGTGGTGATTTTCTCCATCATTTCTTTTGTTATTTCTTTTAATTAATTTAGACTTTAACCTTCATCCTTTATTCTTTTTTACTATTTATTTTATCACACATAATGGCAACATACGAACAGAATTATTGTCGGTAAGTAAAACAAAAAAAAATCATTTCTTTCCTACTTTAAACATTTCTTCATATTGAAATTTTTTCATGTTATATAGATGGGAGTTAAACATTGAAGGATGTAAAGATTATCCTTTCTTTCGTAAAAATATAGAAGTAGAATTAATATTAGTTATAATCACATTCATTTTAAGTACCATTTTATTACTTTACAGAAGAATAAAGCTTAATTGTATCATATGGAATGGTCAATGTTTTTCGGCTATAGATGGTTTTTTATTTTGGGCTGACATTTGGTGTATTACAAAAGTAATATTTATTTCCATACAATTATCAAATCTTAAAAACGATTATTTAAGACATTTTTTATTTGAACTTATGGCTTTCCCTCCGATTATCGCTGTTGCAACTTATACTTCAGGATTGTAAGTTAAACTTATGTTACACGTGATCTCACACGTGTCTTTCAAAGGTGCTTTAACTTTCATCCTTTTTTGCATTTCTAGATTCTATGCCATACCAAGAATGAATTTTCATCATCGTTCGTCACAAGATCAAGAATCAAAACATATTTCACAGAGCAAAATATATCGTTTTCGTCCAAATGTAGTGTCACTCATTTATTGGATGTTTGTTTCGATCTTTTTCGTAATGACTTTCATTCCTGTAATGATTGCTGCTATCGCTAAACAAAATCATAATCGGAAATTGGAAGACATTTGTTGGGCTTTTCATCTTTTGATATTTTCCATAGCATTTGGAATATTGGCCGTCATATTGGTTATTTACAGGTAAAAAAATCATACGAAATATTATCACGTGAATGCTTAGGCGCAGTGCTTTCTAAAAAAATACATTTTTTTTGTCTTTTTGAAATAGTCGAATGCTGGTACGTTTTGCTGAAGAATCAATATCATCATTAGTACACGATCACGAAAAACGACAATATAAGAAATTCGCCAACATGGTACGAAATTCATTTTTCTTCAGCCTCTTTTTTCCTCGCGTTCAAATCCTTATTTAAAATCCTTAAATTTGAAAATCTTAGATGAAATTATTTTATAAGACGTTAATATTTGTATTGGGATGGTATATCTTGGGAATAGCGTTACTTGCATTTTTTAGAATGCAAATTAATTCTAATGAAGTATTAAAGAAATTCTATGCTGTTATGATCGAAATTTCTTCTGTCGTAGCAGCATTGGTAATTATTTGTACATTATTAATTTGGTAAGTGTTTAGATAACGCTCTTGATCTTTCCTTTCTATCTTATAAATTATTAAACTATTTTTATCTTATTTCCCAAATAAAGTTCAATATCGAAAAATAATATCACAGTAACATGGTCGGCGTGTCAAAAGAAAGGTCCTATAATAAAGTGTAATGATGAAGATGTCATTGAAACAGGCGAAGCCATCGTAGTTGATACGAGAACTTCTTGGTATATCGGTTGTACGAGAGTTCAACCACCTCCACCTCCTGCACAACGATCTCCCATCATTTATCCCACCATTTATGAAGAGCCTGAAAGCATGTCAAAATGATGACGCATTAAGAATTAGAGTTGAAATTAAAAGTGATGATTTTAGGTCAAGTCAGTTATTTCAATTTTAAAATAATTAAAATGACTAAATTGCATATTGTATATTATAATTGTTATTATTATTAAAATTATTTAATTATATATATTTATTGTTCACTACCAATATCAACTTTGTTCAAGTGACAATTTTTTTTTAAAAACCAAAAAATCTTTGCTAACATTTATATAAGAATTTTTATATTTTTCATATTCAAAAAGACCGAATGCTGATTAAAAGAAATTGACAATAATTAATTAACTGTTTTATTATTACTAACTAATATCATCATATAATGATATAATTATTTCATGAGGATATTCACTATTTATGCGTCATCTTTGTTCCCGATTCCCCTAAATTAGCTTGCTAAATTATCTGATAATCAATCCTAATGCTGTTGATGAACGAATTGTACGTGCCGTTGATAAAATTCTAACATCTATAATAGAAAAGTAAGATTAATATTACTTACGGGTTTTAACAGAATCTCAAAACATATACTCGTTTAGAAAGATTTAAAGCCATACTTTTTGTGGACATTTAACATTAGTTACTTTATTAGTGTGTGATGTACGGTGTCCATTCTTCCTATTATGTATAAGGAAAAATTAGTTATTTTTATTTTTTTTAAAAAAAAAATATTCTTTAATTTAATCTTAAATGCAAACCAATTCAGAAAAACTATTAATGTTCCCGTATATGGATCTTGTTGGATAGTAGCAACGTCTGTAACAAAAGGTTCCCAACTTCCAGCTATAGCGGCAGGCGTAAAGTTATCATAATCATCATCATCATATTCTTCTTCTTCTTTAAATATATCTTCTTTTTCAAATAATCCATCATCAAAATTATCACTTGCTTCATCTTTTTCAACTTCTGTAACTTCGGAAGATCGTAATGGAGTAGTTGAAGATATAAGATCATTCATATGACCACCTTTATCATTGTGATTACCATTATTATTCAACAAGTTATCATTAGATTTCGATGATTTTAACTCAACAAAACTTTTCTTTTGTCTGGTATGTTTATCTTGACTTTTTTTAATTCTATTGGACTTTTGTCTTTTCAATTTCTTAGTATTAATATTATGTCTATCTGCTAATGACTTTATTTTTTCTTTTGCTTCGATTTCTTTATTATTCCAATATTCACTTTCCTTTTTTTCCGCAAATCTATAAAAATTAAATTTTTATATAAAAAAAAAAAAAAAAGGACGAGATATTTTTTAAAACAAACCTAAATAAATTTCATGGAAATAAATTAATAAAAAAAAATATATACACGTGCTCTTTTGACACCCAAGAATTATGTTTGTCAGAATATCCTATATTAAATAGTTATATCAAATTAATTTTCAAGAGAAACATATATTGAACTTTACAAAATTTATATAAATTAAGCCATTCACATACCTTTCCACTTGATCATATATTGTATTGATCCCTATTCTCAAAAAAAAAATAATAAAAAAAAGTTAATTGATTATTGTGAAGAATTTATTTCTTAATAATTTCTTTAATTATGACTCTGAAAAAAAGGGATGGATAGCAATACCCTATACGTTCGATGATCAACTATTTTTTCGATTTCGTAAATATCATCTTCTCTCCCTTTTTTTTCCGTTTCGTTATTCGTGCTATTATCATCATTATAAGGAATTAACTTATCATTATTTGGTATGTCATTCTTCATAGTATCAACTCCCGTAGTAGGTTCAAGATCTCCTGCTAATTCATCAATCTCTTCACTAATATCCGAAGTATTATCTTCGGTTACTTCAGTGACTACCATATTGAATTCAAAACTAGTCGATGCTAGTGCTGCCATTAGACCAATACTTATACAACGAGAAAACAAACTTCAAAAAATTATGGTTTTTTTTGTTTATTTTTTTTACAAAAAAAGGTTCTTACGCGTATGATCTATTGAAAAAGTTTTACTATTACGGGAATGTATCAATATTTTTGTACAAAATTGGTATAAGCAAAATTGTAATACAATGTGATTAAATATAAATAAATATGGTAATATTGTAACTTAAATCAGATAATAATATAAATTATTTATATCTAAAATGTAAAGATCATTTGAAAAAATAAATTGAATTATTATTTTTAGAGTTTAAAAAATCATTTTAATTTACTTGTTATTATTCTAATTAAAATCAATATAGTAATCTTTTATTATATTATTTTTGTTATTTAATTATAATTTTAAGATTAAGCTATTTATAACTAAATAATATAATTATGTTATTTAATTATAAATGGTTTAAATTAGATTATTTGATAGGTAATAGCATAAATAAATAACTTAATTATAATTATTTTTATTATAAGTTATGTATTTATAAATGCATTTTGATATAATTTGTGTTGATAGGAATCTGTAATTATTACATTATTAATAAGATATTTGCTTATTATTAAACATTTATAATCATTTGATTTTTAAATAATCAATTATATGTTAGTCTCCTTCTGTGCCTTTTTATTGCTAAGAAATTTGGTTTTGTATTGATGTTTTTTATTTTACTTTTCATTGAAAAAAATATCCTATTAGACACTTATATACATTTTATGCTTTCAATATTATAAAATTTAATTAAAAGCTTCTAATCTAAATGAATTTATTAGAGAATTATACTTCTAATCTTTCTAAAGTATTTTCAAGAATGTTTTAATCTTTCAAGTGCATATTATTGCTATTAGATAACATAGTAAATTACAGTTAATTTTTAATAGTATAATAGGAAGATATTAATTCAAAAGATCAGCTGACATAACATGATACATGTGATCAGAAAATATATTAACTATGTTATGTTAGATAACGAAAACAGTAAAGATAAAAAAATAAAATAAATAAAGATTACACAAAAAAATTCAGAAGTCACCGGAAATTTCTTTTATATTACTAATCATTTTACATTATTAATCAGTTATTATTTGTAATCAATTAGTATTTTATTTATTTATATAAGTGAATTTAGTATAAATAGGATAGCTTTAGAATCTGATTAAAGCAGATAATTATAATAAAATAATTTTGTAAACAATTAGAATTCAATTAATTTTTATCATCAACAAGATAAATACTAATAATAGTTACAGTTCACGTCACTTATATTCTACATAAATCTTACTTAATTTTGAAACTTTATAATTCTTAAAGTTTAAGTATTACAAAAAATATAAACTACAAATATGAAACTTTGAGATATAAGAACAATTTTTGTGGCATAATTTTTTCCGAAAATAAATTCATCAATAATTATAAGAGTTTAAAAACAGGTTATTTTATTATTAAATTCAAGTATTCAGAACTTCAATTTTGGCCAGAATTAGCCGAGATTTTATTATTCTGACTAAAATTAACATAATCACGTAAAATATTGTGAAACACTTTCATTATGATAATCAACGAGATATATGCATATCCACGGATATTTATATAACATTCGTATAATTTGTAATTTTTCGTATCATTTCCTCTTATTTTATTATACTATAAAGAAATTTTAATGTTTTGTAATTGGCTTTTCCATTAAAGCTTTCATTACTTTCAAGCAATATTTTTTTTTGATATTTACTCAGGTTTCTTTGAAACCTTTTTTTCACATTATTAGTTAAAGAGTTTTTTTTATTAATATTTATCAAACATGTGATTATTATTTCATGCAGAGATATTGTAACTAAAAAGACTTTATAACGATACTACAACTAGAAGACTATTAGGAGGAAGTTGTATTTTCCTAAAATAAATGGATTAAAAAATTAAAACAAATAAAACAAAAATTGGTTTGAATAAAATGAACGTATAATTCCAAAAGTTGATGTACAATTATGTAATAGAAAGTTTTACCAGCAGTTTTTTTGTTTAATGAATTGTATTATTTGAATAAATTTATCTTTAGATTATATCTGGATTTACTTAAGTTTTTATTTATATCCGTGACGAAGGTTACAGATAATCTATGTATTTATGGATAAATAAATTCAGATCTAATTAGCATTTTTTTCTTTTTGAAAAAATGGGTTGTTCATCAAAAAAATGTTGCATTGCTTTAACAAAATCTCATGTTACTGATGGTACTTTTATTGCTAAAATTCAGGATGAAACAAATTTTAAGGAAGAAACTGAAGGTGCTGAAGATTTAAAAGTTAAAAATTAGGGTAATTATAATGATAGTGGATGGGAAGAGAATATCGATTTAAAGTTAGCAGAAACTAATTATAAAAGGCTTTTGAATTTAGAATTAGTATGGAAAAAAGATGCTTATTTAGAAAAAAAACACACAGATTATATTTAACAGGATCAACTAAAAAATCTACATTTTATGATAATTATGGACCAAGTGGAAAATGGACTAAGGCTGCAAAAAACACATCAAAATTAACTAGTTTTTTTAGCTTAAAAAATAAAGAAATAGTTGAAGGTGAAACAGATAATGAAAAATTTTTATAGATGATGAATATGTATGGAACTTTAAAGAAATTGAAATTAAAGTTAAAAATTTAAAAGAAGAACTAAAGATAAATCAACATAAAATGTCAGTAATTGAATACAATAAAAAAAGAGCAATATTAAAATGTTAAAACGAGTTAAAAAAGATGAAAAAGGATTAATAAAAGCTAGTACAGAAGTTGCAGAATTAGTTTTATAGATTGTCATCCATATAAAGCATGATGTATTAGAGTTTGGGCAAAATATTAGCTTCAAAATGCTCAACTTTTACCAACTTTTCAAGGTAAACATCAAAAAATCATCCGATTGATTGATGATGAAGACATATCAGAAAAATGTCAAATTTGGATTTGAAGTCAGAGAGGACACACAACACTAATAAAATTTAAAGAGTTTGTTGAACAAACTTTTTTACCAGAAACTGGAATTACTAAACAAAAAACTATTTCTAATTCTACAGCAAGAAGATGGTTAAATATGTTGAGTTTTTTTTATCAATAACAAAAATAAGGGGTATATTTTGATGAGCATGAAAGAGATGATATAGTGGAATATCGAAAAAATTTTTTAGAAGAAATTGCTAAATATGAATCATATATAGCAAATTATGATGGAGAAACAATGGAGAGAATTCTACCAAATCTTAAGAATGATGAAAAAGAACATATTTTGGTAACACATGATGAATGTATTTTTTATTCAAATGATGGTAAACGTGGTGTGTAGGCAAAAACAGGTGAATTACCATTGAGAAAAAAAGGAAATGGTCGATCAATTATAATAAGTGAATTTTTAACAAAAGCATATGGATGGCTTAAATTAGATACTCAAGCAATTGAAAATTATCCTGATGTTCCGAAGGAATTATGTGTTTATTTAATTCCTAGAAAAAATCAAGAAGATTATTGGATAATGAATCATTTATTAGAACAAGTAAAATCAAAAGCAATTTCAATCTTTGAAGTATTGTTTCTTAATTGTATTGCTATATTTGCATTTGATAACAGTTCAAATCATGCTGCATTTTTACCAGATACTTTTATAGCAAGCAAAATGAATCTTTTTTCAGGTGAAAAGTAACCAGTAATGCGACGTACAACTTGGGAAGAAAATAATTATCAAGATATGTGTTTTCCAAATGATTATTTTAATGAAAAATTATGTAGAAAACCTAAGGGAATGAAATAAATACTTTTAGAAAGAGGAAAATGGAAGGATGGTTTAAAGGCAGATTGTTAGTTATGTAAAGCAGAAAATAAAGATTCTAATCAGATTGATTGTTGTGTAAGACAAATTATATCTTTAGAATCAGATTTTATAGCTCAGAAAGGTGCATTATATGAAATTATTTCAAAAGCAGGTCACAAATGTATCTTTTATCCTAAGTTTCATTGTGAGTTAAATTTTATTGAAATGTATTGGAGAGCTACAAAAAAATTTACACATGAAAATTGTGATTACTCTTGGGCAGGTTATAAAAAACAGTTCCTTTAGGTTTAGATTCTATTAATTTAATTATAATTAGGAAATTTGCAAGAAAAACATGGTGATATATAGATATTTATTGTAAAGGAATTGGAGGAAAATTAGTAGAATATGCTGTAAAAAAATATAAATCTCATAGGCGTGTTCCTGATAATATTTTAGAAGAATTAAATAAAGTTGAAATTTGATTTATATAAAAATACAATGATTCGATTGGTTAAAATATTGTGTAACATCATGTGATTTGTGACATTATTGCTTTATAAATTTTGGACTATTGTAGAGTATAGGTGATTCGAACTGTATAATATATAATACATATTTATAAAATTAATTTTTTAAAAAATTTTAATTTTCAATAAAAGTAAATCAGAAGTGAATTTATAGTAAATAAGCAAGCAAATTTGCCTGCGAACCTCTACAATCTAAGGGATAATAGAAATTTTTTTATTTTAGTATTATATTTCTTAAATAATAAAGAAAAAGCTTTTTACAATAAAATTACAAACCTTAAGCCAGTTCAATATATTTTTCATATTAAAATTGTTTATAATACTTTTACATAGACAATATGTTTGAAGAGATCTTCTTAAAACTATCGAACCGTTTAACTTTTAAAACTTACAAAAATGTTTTTTGAGAACGATTTATGTGAGACAGAAATTCAAATGTCGCACAGTTGTATTATACCCAAAGTCAAAAATAGCATATAAAATTATGTCGATCAACTGATCGACATGTGACCTGATAACCCGTGAATAACCTACTATTCTTAATGTCAGTAATTAAAGATATAGAATTTTATATGTGAATAATAATTAGTTTTGTAAGAAGTATAATATTTATAATATTATCAAGTTAAATTGAAGAGTAATAGGTTGCTCAATAAAATCTAAAGTTTGAAATTATATTATTAAAAATCGGTAAAATTTGATATTGATAAAAGGTAAAAAAATAATTTCAAAAGTCATGGAGCAGCCGATAATATTCGAGAATTTTCCGAGAACTTTTATAAGGATTCGGAAAATTAATCCACATACGGGTAAAAACGTTATCCTCGGGAATGATTTTTTCAAAAAATTCTAATAATCGGCCGTCCGGTGACTTACAAAAATTGCTGAATCTAAAATAGGAAAAAAATAAAACAAATAAATAAACCGAGTCAAAATAACACGTGTTACAAAATTATCAAATCACCCATTCATTTTGTCATTCAGTTACGAGTTACGCAGCAAAACGACCCTTTCTAGATCATGTATGGATGGACCCTTTCTCAGGAAATAAGAAAAAGTAAAACAATGCATATCTTGGATACCTGATTCATTGAAAAAAAAATTTAATACTTTATCTCCCTCTATATATTATCATCGTTATATCGAATTATCTGGTGTAATAAAAAATCGAACTTTAATTTCTCGGTAGAGACTTTTTTTTTTGTTTCAATTGTCTTTACAATATTTCAATTCCAATATCGCCGACACAGATTCATATATGTAGCAAAGAAGATATAACTTGAAGAAAATTACAAAACTGTGTAAGTAACATGATATCGAAATTAAATATGAAATATATGAAATGGGCTAAATTACAATAAAATATTGTATTTATGCTGTAATGTGTATGACACAAGAAGATCTCCCCTCACCAATAACGTGTACTAAAAATAATTAGTGATCTAAGATATTTACAGATAAAGGTCAATTTATAGTTTACAAAGAAATAGTAAACCAGTTAAATAAGCGATCCCGGTCGCGTAAGAGTTAAAAACAAAGTAATTTTTATTATTTTATTGTATTTTATTATTTAAAAAAAGTAAAGGCTTCCAATAAATCTTGAAATGATTAATATATACAAAAAACGTATTTCCCCTGCATTGATTATTTAACTGTAGTTTGAAATCTCTGACAATGACAACATGACAAGTTCTTTCAATATACTTTTCTTTATAAACGTGTAAGACAAACATTATAAAAGATTATAAATTATTTATTATACGTTCAGTATGGTGTAACAACATCAATCGTTTTTAAGGAACGGTTTTCAACCACGTTCAAAAAAATATTTGAATAATAATTACCAAATATTATTTTGAAGACTTTACCGCAAAGAATTTTTAATCCTTTAGCTAATATAAAAAAAACATGAGCACAAACAAAAATTATTATAACATATCAATGCAATCCATTGAAGATTATGATGATATTCTTGATAAATTTAGAATCATCAATAATAGACGTTTTCATAATACTACTTCAAACTATGCATTACCAAATGATGAAATAGAAATCGGTAGATTAGAATTATCACATATTTTATTAAAAAACGCATTTGGTAATAATTTTTCTTCTCCGGTACATAATAAATTAAGAGATGGAATTTCTGTATTAGACGTTGGGTAAGTTTATATTCATTTTTAAGAATTTATTCAACGAAATAAAAATTTAACTATTTATATTAGATGCGGAGCAGGACGCTGGGTTCTCGAAAACGCGGAAAACTATCCAAAAAGTACATTTGTTGGGATAGACATGTCTCCAATTTTTCCGACGGACGACAAACCACAGAACGCCGGATTTATCGAATGCAACGTGCTCGATGGAGGACTCCCCTTCCCATCAAACACTTTCGATTTTGTACATCAAAAATTGCTTTACGCTGCTTTCTCTGAAAAGCAATGGTTACTAGTGATAAAAGGTATATAATACATATTTTAGGGACGTAGTATGAATGAAATTCTGATTTTTTTTTTTTTACAAAGAAATTGCTAGAGTTTTGAAACCTTCTGGTTATGCGGAATTCATGGAAATGGGACCTTTATTGCATAATTCAGGACCTCATGCAAAAAAAACTCACGAAAAATGTAAGGAATTTGCTAAAGCCCAAAATCAATTTTAATAATAAATATAACTGATTTTTATCTCATTTTGTAATTTAGTTTTTCGATATTATGAAGCAAATGGTTTATGTTTCGACATCGCAGACAAATTGAAAGGTATTATGGATTATACAAAATGTTTCGGCGAAGTTAAAATAGAAAACCGAATTATTGCTACTGGTAAATGGGGCGGCAATTTTGGTGAATTGGTATGTGATTTTGATTTGATAATTACAATTATTTTTTATTTGTTATAATATCTTTATGTAAATTTTTTTAAAAAAAAAAAAAATTTAGATGAATATTTATCTTAGAATGTCCTCTGAAGCTAGTTCGGCAATGATGATTAAAGTAATTAATTGCACTAGACAAGAATATGATAAAATGTTCGAAGCTTACTTCATGGAAATCGAGGAATTCAAGTCAAGTATCGTTTATAAACGTTTTTACGCGCAAAAACTTTAAGCTTTTATTGCACAGTGTTTAGATTCTCTATTCAAACAAAATGTAATTTCAAGGAATTATATAATATGTTCAAAAGCAATGTTTTATAAACATCATATTAAATAAATAATTTCAAAAGAAATCACAAATTTTTATTTTAATTCATACACTCTGATTGTCGTATGTTTTTAAAGGCTAATTTATTTACATATGTGATATGCAAAGTGCAACAAAAAATTTTGACATTACTTAATAAATAATTAGAATGACTAAATTCATTCTTGTTTTTAATGCATTAATGTGTAACAAATCTCACAAACGAATTGTCTTGTAACCAACCATCGAACAGGTTCATGTAGGTTATTGCCTTTTTGGATAAGGTAACTGGATGATACATCAAAAATTGATTTTATAAGAAATTTAGCTATTTCGATGAATAAAAAAAAAAATAACGACACTTTGCAATATTTCATTTGTACATTCTTTAAAGAAGGAATGGATATTTTGAGGTCCGCCCAAGTTTTTTAATTACTTAAGTCAGATCTTGATAAATTACCATGCGGCGAACGACAGTTATTTTGTATCACCTTGCACAGTTTAGAAAGTTCCTTCGTTACACCCGAAAATTTTAAGATAAAATCTTATCGCTTTGTAACATAAATTATTAACAGTACTTGAAAAATTTTTGGATGCAGGACAAATATTTAAAGAAAAAAGAAAGAAGCTCATAAATCTTCATTTTATAATGTGCATATGGCTGCCTACATGATGAAGGTAACTCTCTCGGACCTCATAGCGGATAATGATCACAATAAGAAAAACATTGATGTGCGACGTTCATTATTGGTTTCTAACTATTGCTTTAGAATTGATATCATGTATACTAGGCACGAGGGAGTAATTAAATTTAAAAATTGTGAAATACAGTATTAATCTATTCTATCTATCTATTTATAAATGCCTTTCTGTTCTTTCTGTTCTGTACGTGTTTGTGCACAAAACTTCCATAATTGGTTATAATAATATATGAAGATATATATTTAAAAGTTGGTTGTCTCTAACACAATATAAATTTTACTTTATATTTTATAAATGAAGATAATCAAGCAAGTGTAATTATTTATTCATCAATCATATTCTATCTTGGCAAAGTTCTCAATCTATAAAACAATAGATTAATATAAGTTTGGAAGACAAAAATAAATGAGTCGAATTTTTTTAATGGAACACAAAATTTCTCAAAATCTTAACAGATATAGGTTTATTCAGCAAGCGGTAAAAGTGACGTTACTTTGACTGTAAATATTTAACTGATATTTACTATTAATAAAACGAATAAATGGTGGTTTCATTCTGTCTGTGTGATTAAAAAGATCACCCAATATTAGGCAATGTCTTTAAAATAAGCAATCACATGACTTTTAGGAACATTTATTACATATTAATCTAGTGCATCAGCACAATTTCGAAATTTCAGTCTTAACTAGTCCTAATATAAATCCTAATATAAATAATAAATATAATAATAATTAAAGTTGTAGAATGACCTGTAACTACATATTAGAATATATTTTTTAATAAACATTTATTGAGTAAAATATTGTCACTATTATAAAGTTTCTATTATAGGAATAGAACAGAATCGTATATAGTATTGTTACATTGAATATATTTTCGTCCAAAAACGCCATAAAATTGTAGTTAGTCCCTTGAAGATCATTTTGTCAGATTGTCACGGTGCCAGGTTGTTAGGAGGTTGGCAGGATGCCAGGCTATCCTAATAATTATTTTTTATAAATAAGAGCTCGCCCTTCTTGTATTTGCATACATACCCTTCGCGATATTTTCGCTTTCGCCGTTTTAACATTTTATATTTATAATTTATTTTTTAATTTCCGATTTTTGTTATACAATTTTTCGTAATTGCGCAGTTTTAATTGGCATTTATTTATTGACATTGCGAAAGTATAGAGCGCCGATGTTGAGGCAAAACTGATTAATTTGATATTATTAATAAATTTAGCGTCAACATTTATTCCATTTTACTCAATAAAAACCTTTTGCTTACATTAAGAATTGTTTATAACTGAATACAACAGTATTTTGAATTTCCACTATCGTACAATAATTATTAAAAACTGGTATGATCAACCGTTTCAGAATCGTACATAATCAATTGTCTTTATACTCCTGGAAACCTTTTTTGTTGGATTTTTTTAACAATAACAAAATATAACCCCCTTCCAATTAACCTGTCTATAGAACAAACATTGTTTTCTTTATTGTTTTCAAAAAAAAATAAAAAAAGGTATTACATTTTTAATGATATCAAGCGTTCATTTAAATTTTGTCAATAAAATTAACCCATTTAGCGGCCTGCATAAGCTTGGCTTGCGCCGAGCCCGAAACATATCAAACCCCGATCCTGGTCTTTTGGTTTTTGCAAAGAGTTCAACCAGGACCCTGTCCAATGCAGGCATTGCTAATTGATTCTTGTTATAGATGGTAAGTTTGAAATGCGATCTTTGCAAAGGGGAAGAATGTCGGGAAATATAAAAAAAAATGAGTTAATTGCTAATTTTGATACTTCCGACCTGAAAATCAATTTGGCATAAAAGTATTGATTTTTCCAGCAGTCCCCCCTCCCCCTATTGCGCTTTTTTTTTTTTTTTTTAAAAAAAAAAAAAAAAAAAAAAAAAAACGCGACAATTAATGGCAAGTTGCAACAAATTCAAACTTTAAATTCAATCTTAATAATGGTTATTACACAAACCTGCATAGTTATGTATGTATAATATGGCATGATTTTTTTTTAATACATTTATAATATTATTAGAAACCATACAGGTATGGATTATTTGGTATGAAAATCAAACGTCATACTGTACATAAAAAAAAGGTTCAGGACCCGATAAATTTTTAATAAGTAAAAATTTGAAAGAGAGAAATTAATTGGTACTTGCGTAATTTTAATTGAGTAATTTCAGCAAAGAACCCGAGTGTAATGTTTTGCGCGCGCCCACATTTTGAATGTAAAAAAAAATTTCACTTTGAAAGATCTCTATATTTGGTTAATTTCCGCACATTTACTTTGAGGAATTCGATTTTTGGTTACCTTTGAAAGATCGCTATATTTGGTTAATCTCTTTCCGCTTTGGCTACTTTTGAGATCTCAACTATTAATCGTTATCGCAGTTTCTTTGAAATCAGCTTAATGCATCTTTCTTTGAAAGGTTTTTAAAGTTTTGAGGAAATTCATTGATAAAAATATTAACTGAAACGATTTGAGATGAAAAAAAAAAACGTCTCATTGCTTTTTAGGGCAATTCATTGTAATTTGTCCAGGACGTTTAATTTTTTTTTTTTTTGCCTTGACGGTATCAAAATATAACGTCCAAGATGTTATTTAAAAACAAAAAATTTGGTTCCTTTTTTTTTTTTTTTTTTGAAAATAAAACTCATCCAAAGGAAAACAAAAAAAAACATTATTATTTTATTAAAATCCTGACAAAACAAAGCATTAATATTATTTTTGTTTTTTGCAAATTAATTTTATTAAATCCATAAGATGTCTTCCTCAATTCCAAACGAATGTTTATCCATGATTCTCGAGTTATTCGATCCAAAAGATTTACGATCCTGCATATTGGTGGATCGTCTTTGGTTCGAAATATCAGTGCGTTTTCTTTGGATCAAAATTTATAATCACAGAACCTTCCTCGCCTGCCTTCCAATTGAATCGAAACGAATGTTAAGAGAGAATGGAATCACCTTTCGACCCCCAACTTCAAACCCTCTATTATTTAATTACGTTAAATTCATCAAAGAAATCAATGAAAAGACAATTCTTCTGGGATATCCCAAAATACTTCAACAACAATTTTCCGCAAACCAAAAAATGTTAATAGCACAAGAATCCTTTAAATTGATAATGAAGCATGCTTCGTTGAAGACTTTATCTGTTCAAAATGGTGTTCCTTTCTTGGAACCCAATGTACCATACATTACCTTTCCTGGAGCAGACGTTTGCCTTCAGAAACTTTGTGAATTTTTTGGTGATTCATCTATAAAATCGGAATATTGTTCCCGACTGGCCGATTTTTGTAAAGGCATACAAAAGTTCAACTTGCAACTTGACGAGGATGTTAATGAAGGATTGGATAAATTGATTTCCGTTCAACGAAATCTTAAGGATTTAGAAATCCTTTTTAATAAAAGATGTACGAATTTCGGTCCCCCTTTAATGAATCTTGCAAATTCACTAATTAAATTGAACATTAATGGGTGCTTGTATTGTCCAAATTTCTCATTCATAAACAGTTTCACCAAATTGCGAGAACTCACCATATCACTTAGCATGGATCATGAGAATTTAAAACCGTTGCAAGATGTGACACTTCCACAATTAAAAATTTTATCATTTCAATACGCGAGATTACCTCGTGATTATTTATCAAAGTTCCTAGAAAATAATGGAAGGAATTTAGATGAACTTTCCTGTGATTATTCGTTGAATTTGGACGTAGCCAAGTTCTGCCCCAACTTAAAAATTTTAAAATCAATATTCTCAAAAGAAGATGATTTGAAGGCAATTCTTAATAATTGTCAGGAATTAAAAACTCTTGAAGTGCACTGTTGCGAACTGTTCCTTGATGAAAGCAAAATTTTGGTAAATCTTGCAAAGTTTACCCCAAGGAACTTATCAGAGTTAATCATCACTAAATCCTCAGATGATAATAATAATGAAAAACTTTTTTCTAATTTATTGGAGGATTTAAGTTGGGGGGAGGAACAACATACGCCCATCTCAATAATTATCAGAGGAGACAAATTAAATATCAAAGAACAAAATAAGCAAATTATAGAAAATTATATATCGCTGGGACATATAAAAAGTTATAAACTCGCTATTACCTAGCGTTATATATATGTGTATATTTTTGATACATAATACGAAATGAAAATTTAAAAGGTAAAAAATCCTTATTTCTTTTTTAAAACGTTAACAGCTATTTGAATAATAATAAAAAAAAAAAACTTTACGAAAATAAAATGTGATAAATAATTTATTATATCTTAAAATAAAACAAAAACTAAAGATCATAATAATTTAATAATTTTGAATATACCAGATTGTTTTTTCATTGTACTATTCGAATGCTTTTTTTATTCCAATTACAAGGCAGGAAGGAAATAAAATCAATTGGATATAAAGAATCATCTTTGGGGCTATAAACTATACTCTTTATTTTAAATTGAAAGCCGAAAATAATTTAATTTTAAAAATTAATAAGGATCGTTCACCATATTTTTTTTGACCACATCCTTCCCTCATGGAACAGTGATGGCAAGTGACTCAAATGACTGGTCATGTGTCATTTGGGTCATTTCAACATTAAATGACAATGACCTTGGTCATTTAAAAATTAATCATGTGATCTCAATAATTCTGGCCAAAATAATTAATGTTTCATAAAATATTTCACGTGATATAAATTTGTAATTCTGGCCAGCATATAAAATTTGGCCTGTATTACATTTAAATGACCAAATGAATAAATTAATGAGTACCATTCTTCCATCAAATTCTGATTTATTTCAACCGAAGAATGAGACATGATAATATTGATAATAGCGTATGTACAGTGAAAAGAACTTTACATAGAAATAGTTTATCTTCTAGAATAAAGAGAAAAAACTTATCTTAAAAAACTCATCCAAGTTTACGGTTAGATTTTGCAAAAAAAATATATATTAGATGGACAATTGAAAATTGGAGTCGCAATTCATGATTTTAGGGCCTGAAGTTGTTTGGAAACAGCCAGAAGAACAGCTTCAGATTAGTAGCATATTAAACCTACAATTGAATTTTGAGATGGTATGTGGGTATTTTCCTCTATTTGTGTTGGAGAACTATATCGACAAATATTAAATGAGGACCTTATTTAAACAATTTAGCAATTATTTCTTTTCTCAAATTATAATCAACTAGACTAACAAAATAATCTCGATAATAAAAAGAAAAGATAAGTAAAAGATGGACGATGATTTTGTGATATAAATTATGCCCCGCATCATAAAATTGGTGTATCTTTACTTTTTGAGAAATTTTTTTTTTTTATAAATAATAAATACAGCAATTTATAATGAAACTAAAAATTTATATATATATGGAAAAAAATTTTTAGGGGGAAACTTTATGATAGGTGAAATTTCAATTTAGAAATTTATCTTGTCGATTTATAAATCAAAATGTATAAAAAGATTATTATCCCTATTAAATTTTTTATAAAAGCATATAATTATATGACTCTGACATAATTGAATTTTTCATTTCTTAGGATAAAAGATGGACAATGAAGGACAAGCTTGGTTCATCATAATGTAGGTTCAAATGCATAATATGATTTTGAATTAATGAAACATATTAATATTTACCTTTGAATGAAATAAAAGGCGAATGTGTACGGCGGCTCAACATCGAATCAAAATAATAGACCTCATCGTGTCGTAGCTTTGGATATTTTTCGTGGATTATTAATGGTCTTGCAATCCTTAGATCGTGCGTATGACGTATAATTGTTATTGTGTACAATCATTATTCTTTACAATATTTCTTTTTGATAGATGCAAGAGGATATTTAGTGAATATAAGAGGTCAACAGGGTACGATAAAGATTTTCGTTTTTAATGCCAGATGATATCTTAGGTATTCTAATTACTGCGTCACTTAAATATATTAGCACACGAAACTTGGTATCAACAGCCTGTATTTGAAGAGTTAGTTCCATCAATAACAAGATTGGTTGACTCATTTGGCGGCACCGGGATTTACCTTTCTTATTTTGGTATAATTTTATTTCGAAATCTCGTATGAGTTGGATGGAATGTAGATCAATTATTATACCATTATCTCATAAGAGGTTTCATTTTGATTATATTAAATTCCTATTTTTACTACCTTCTTGCATTTAAATATCCTACAACGATATTATTTGCGTTAGGGGTGAATTTAATATTTGGAGGATTAATAATTTTGGCAGAAATGAAGTTATTTCTCTTCTTTATAAAATTTTATCAAACAGCTGATCTGGAGATTGCGATAAATAAAGCAAAGTACGCGAGAAATGTGTTCCTACTGATATTAGTAAGTAAGTTTATTAGCCATCGGAAATGTCGTTCAAACTCCAAAATCCACAGATTATGAAGTGGTGGATTTTGGTTGGTGGAGATACATCTGGTTATTGCCAGGTAATTGTGAATTATAATTAATATTGTTCCATTAACAAATCTTTTTAATATCTTCATTACGATTCATTTCATTGTTTCAATAGGATATTACAAAAATTTATATTCTATCTATCCACCTTTAAATTGGCTATCTTTCACAATTTTCGGAATTATTTATGGATATATCACCTTAGAACGAGTACGGAATGAAAAGTTTAATAGAAATCTCAATTTGGTAATTATTATACAGTGATTTACTCACTCGTCTTTCGGAGTGTATTGTACATTGAATGTCCGAGTTAATTTTTTTTTTTCTTTAAGAAAATCGGAATCTTCCTTTTAACGCTCTTCATAGCAATCAGAATTCCTGGTAAATTTGGAAATATAAATCCGGATCTACTTCCATCACCACCACCAGGAACCTTGTTTGACAATCCTTATCTAACTTCCGTATTACAATTTGTGAATGCGATTAAATATCCCCCGGATTTATCATTCTTTACATTGTATATGGGATTAAATCATTTAATACTTGCATTCTTTTATGCAATACCTTCATTCAACTCAAATTATCTTATAGTTGCTATCAATAATGGTCCATTATTAGCTTTTGGTCAAAGTGCTTTATTTTTTTACATGGCACATTTTCATATCTATATTTTCATGTCTTTAACCATGTTTGGAATTACTAGTGAATCAAAGTTTAACATCGATTCTTGGCAATTTTGGTTTTGGTGGATTTTTGGGTTAGCATTATTATGGCCCATGTGCGTTAAATATGCTAAATTCAAAAGCAATAAAGGCCCCGATTCGTTGTGGAGGTTCTTTTAAATTCAAAATTTGATAATTGACCAGTTGTCCATGGACGTGGTCCTTAGGTCCGGGCTAACAGACTTACAAAACATTTTCGTAATCTCGTATAAGAACTTGTCGAACATAAAATCATTTTAAAGTTATATAATATGATATATATATATATATACAGTACACAAATTTTTTTTAAATTGTCCAACATTAATAATTTAAACCTTAAAGTTAGAAAATATTATAATTTCGATTTAATGTTAATTTATATTGGAGAGATTAATAAGATATTGTTAGATAATTTTCATCCATAAAACAATAGAGTATCTTTTGGCAGACGGAGGAAAAAACTTAGGTCATGGTCGGTAATGTTGTGACATCTAACCCCAACTTCTTGCAAACACTGCTACACTTATGATTTGCAAGGAAACAATCCTCGATTCCCCTCTTCCCTAGATTAGTTCTCCCGAACCGTAAGGAATCAGTACATTGTATAGCCGGATCTGTCAGTAAGAACTGATCCGAGAATTCGGCCCCTTGTAGATCATAAACCAATAAATATCCCTCGGTGTAATCATACGTGAAATGGGCGAACGCTTCAAGGGTGGAATGAAATTCGGTAATGATACCACTGTTCACGTTGAATCGTTTATACTTTGCATTTCGAAGATTAGGCTCTATGGTATAATACTGTTTTTTAAATCCGGTGGTAGTACTACGCAAGAGTTTCGCCTGAAGAAATTTCACCTTTTTGTTGATTCCGACCCGTTTTGCTTCGATATTGAATTGTTTGGAAAGGAAATGTGCGATTGCAGAGACTTCCACTGCCTCAAGATACCGTTCAACCGAGTTCGCCTTTCGTCCAATCTCAAGGTATTCTTTTATCACCACTTTCTCAGCCGGTACGCGCTTGACTTCTAGGGCAAAATATGCATATCGTTCCGCACCAACGGAGAATGGCTTTGGGGCCAGCTTGAAAGAGAGATTTTGGAGATCAGCATTTGATTTTTGAAAATATTCCTTGTTCATGATGTCGTCAAGTGTTTTAGGGAGACGATATCGCAAAACTGCTCCAGTTTGCTCCTCAATCGTATCCCAATCGGGTTCTTCCGTGTCTATTTCAAGCTCTTTCCGTCGTAGTGAGTATACGTCATTTCCCAAAGTAGCGGTTAACGAAACGGAGGAAGTGATCGTCAAACAGGTGGCTTGAAAATATTTGGAAATTAATTCCACGGAATCAAAATCAAACACTTGAATCTCGCCAATTATATCACGGAATATGCTAAGCATCTTATCGGTATGATGTGTGATTTTCCCGAAAAAGTAAAGAATGTTTGAAGATTGCATTTTTTCCAGCACGCTTTCCGCAGTTAGGCCGTTCGGGTCGCCTTCCGGATAACTATCATACATGGTGGTGAATTGACGACCGTGCGGAGGACAATCACCGATGTGAAAAATGACGCGAGTAGTATGAAGCCAGCTCATTTGAGTAATGGCCGCGTCAAGTCCACCTAGGACGTCTTCTGGACCATCACCTCCACCTTTGGCTGATACCTTCTCGGATATGTTGTTTCTGAATTGATCGTATGAGTTTGTGAAATCGAAAATCTGAAGTTTGTCATCGCCATCGCAGTGATCACGATAGCCGCAAAAGCCAACGCGAATTTTAATACTCGGATTCGTACTTTCCATGTAGCTTACTACCTGTAAGATGCAATCCTTGGCAGCGGAAATGTGCCTATACATAGAACCGGTACAATCCAAGACGTAACAAAGGTCAACATTCATTGCGGATTTGATCCTTTTAAGCATTGATGATATAGCCTTTTCTCGTAATGATTTAGTATGAGATTCTAATGTTTTATCACTCATAAAGCGTGCATCACCCGCCTCCGCGGCATAACGTTCGAGACGACCTTGGTCGATGTTCAGGTTGTCCATTTCGGAAATGAGTGACGAGGGGATAGAACTGGCATTTGTTGTGGCAGATGACCAACCAGAAGTTAGAGAACCGGGATCACAAGGTTCACTAGGCATATGCCCGTATTTTTCCATGTCAAACTCTGTGCCCATTTTGCTAAAAAAAATTAACTTTCCCGCCTTGTTTAATAGACACACTGAAAATGATAAATATTAGTGCGAGACTTCTTTTAACGATAGAATGTAATATTCCCAAAATCTTGGGGAAAGTAGTTTAAAAACGATCCTATTTATACCAAAATGGATTTACTAATTTGGAAACAAAAACAAAGGTTAACCGAATTAGAAGTTGGAACCGGTTCTATTTCCGAAAACCGGTTTTAAATATTTTCAAAAAAATTTGACCCAGTTTAAATCGAGTGTCGGCCCGAATTGAAACCGGTTTAAAAAACCGGGTTGAATCGATAGATATATTTATTCGAATTATGTAAAATATCATCTAATTCCATTCTTTAAAGCATATCGATGATCAAAATTACCTAATAATTTTCTTTAGTAAACTGCGGTTAGTTCTAATTAAGAATGAACGAAATTCGTATCTTCGTTTTTTGTACTACTTTTAGTGCTTGTGGTATCGGTAGTTGTAAGTTTTGTAATAGTTTCTGTATCAGAAAGTATAACCGAAGAAGTAGATAGGTTTGCCATAATGAGAAATAAAACATGAAAAAAGAAAAAGAGTGCTACATTAATTAGAAACGTCAAAGATTTAGAAATCAAATTTAAACTACTCTGACATATTCACTGACATTAAGGAAGAAGTCCTAACTTAATGAAGAAATCAAGGAGACATTGATTATTATCTCACTAGACTTAAAATCTTTACAGAAATTCCAGACGAAGACGTTGATTCCAAAAAGAATGATTGTATGGGAAAAGCTCGTGCGAGAAACTAAATATGGATTTTTTTTATTAACCTTTAATTATTTTTGGTAAATCGAAAACCGGATTTTCCAACCGGTTGCACCTCTAAACCGAATTTGTAATTAAGTGTCTATAATAAATCACGTGATACAATTTTTGCAAATACTTCAGACTGAGGAAAAAATTAACTTTCTTAAAAATCTTTTTTGTCAACTGCGTTACAATGACCTAAGGTTACTGGACGAAACTAGAATACACAAAAATGTTACATAAAATACTGAATATAAAATTTGTCATTAAATGGATCTTTATAAAAATTTTAATATAGGTTTTCGCAAATCGTCTAAATGGAAAAGGTAAAATTTAGCGAAACTATAGTTTAGACGTTTTGCCAAATCTAAAATAAGTTTAGACAAGCAAACCTTACAATGACCAATAACTCTGACACATTGTATCAACTAACATCTCTGCTTAATTGAAGTTACACTTTTATGGTATATTTTATTTAGTTTATCCTAAATATTTAATAGCTGTTTTATCTTTTATTATAAAGTTAAATTAATAAAGTAATAATCGTTTATGTTGTAAATATTTGTAATTTACTTTAAAGGAAACAAATAAAATAATTAAGTTATTTAAGTTAATTGATCAAGCATTTAAATATATGCAATAGAAAAAGGAAAAAAATCAATTTTACTTTATATGCAAAATATGGTTTTTAGGTCAAAATATGTTCCTTTTTTTATTGCAAAAGGTCCCATATTATTTTTATATTAATCAAATCTATTAATAATAATATTTTAAAATGACTGCTATGTAACTTATATTAAAATAATATTTCTTTATTATTAAAGTTTTGAGTTTCAAAATTTTATAAATAATGTTTATTTTAAACAATCTTTTACTATCTAAATTTACAAATTTTTTGATTTTAAATATTTTGGACAAGATTTTGAATATAGGAAAATATGTCTAATATGTGTAACATTTTTTTTAAAATCTATAATAAATCTTTTAGATAAATCTGTGAAAATGTTAAAATTATTATTTATTTTTAAATAATTGTTTTATTTTCTAAAGATTTATAGCTAGGTTCAATTTATATTTTTAAATAATATTCTAATTGTTTAACTTTATTACCAAAATCATAATTTTAAATAAATAAACAAAGGTAAACTTTTTAACACCTTATATAAAATTTATTATTATAGATCAGTGTAAGAAAATTTTTAAAGAACAAAGTTAATAATTATTCAAACAGTTTTTTATTGATTAATTTGTTATAAATTTGTAATTCTATCAGATTTACAATTATACAATTTAATATTTTATTAAATAATCTATTGTACTTTGCCATAAATTGAATTAAATATTAATTTATTTTATATAATGATAATAAACAAATTTTAAAGCATTAAATAAACTAAAAATTTTAAATAAAATAAAATATTTTTTATATTTATTATTAATTAATATTTTGGATCTTTTAGTCTTTTGCTTTTTTTATAATATTAAAAAAAATATAGAAAAATAACATATGGGAGGATTTCTAGAAAAATCAGGTTCTGTGAAATTTTGATTAAAATTAAGAGCTTAATATATTTTAATCTAATAACATTAAAAACTAAAATGCAATAAAAATCTCAATTTTGCTTAAAAATTCCTAAAACTTGATTTTCCTAGCAATCAACCTATATGATTCAAAAATTACCAATAAAATCAATATATATAATAATAAATTTTAAATTAATGTTTATGATAATGATTTTTTTCAGAAGCTTAAAATTTAAATTTTAAAAATCATTAATACTATTATTAAAATTAATATAATTTAACACATTATGTAAATAAATTTTGAATAATATTTATAAATCTTTCTAAACTTTTATTTTATTTTATTAACTTTTTAATTAATATTACTTTAGATATTAAGAATTCTTTAAACAAATCTTTAGTAATAAAATTACCTATTTAGATAGTTAATATAAAATATTTTAAATATTTTTTTCTATCTATCTATTCATAATAAAAATTTTTTTTGGATCTAGTTTTTAAATTTATGATATTTTATATAACTGTTTTTACATATTGAAAAATCTAATTAAATAAATATAAAATATAACTTATGTCAAATTACAGATTAAAGATTTTTAGTATATATATTAATTTTGAAAATTGTAATAAAATTTTTTAGTTAATATTTTTAATCTAATATTTTATTAATTATTAGTTTTAGAAATTTTAAATATATTATTACTTGTGATCCTCTTTCTTTAAATTTTGATTAGTTAAACTTAAATAACTTTTAAGTTAGAATATTTTTATAAATATATGATAGCCTGTGTATCTTCATTTTAGTTTTATCTTATATTATTATTTATCACTTTTTATTAATCTTCAAATATATATAAAAAAGTCTTTTATACTATAATTTCTTTAATGAATTATTAATTACAATTAGAGTTCCGAATGAGTCGAGTCGAGTCGAGTTTAAAGACCAACTCTATTTGACTCATTTTTTTCAAGTCGAGTCGAGTCAAATTTATTTTATAAAATCTTTCAATTTGATTTGATTTGAGTTATATAAATTTTAAACTCGACTCAATTTAACTTAACTCAATTTTAATTCGATTCAAATTTGAAAAAAAATAATAAAAAAAAATGAAAATATCAGGAAGGGGGAAAGCGAACGATTCGTTATTATTCTTCTTGAACAATTTTTTTATCGTTCAAGTCAAACGATTTCTTATCATTCTTCTTGAATGATCTTTTTTATCATTCAAGTTAAATGATTTGGGTTATTGTTCTTCTTGAACAATTTTTTTATCGTTTAAGTCTAACAATTCGTCATCATTCTCCTTGAACGATTTGATTTATTTTATCATTCAAGTTAAATGATTTCAAAGAATTCAAGGCCAAATCTAAAAATCTTGATGCCTAACTCAAAGACAACCAAGAATTCTTAACAGAATATGAAGAAGACTTAGCCTTAGTAAAATACGAACAAAAAAAGCAAAATATCTTTAATCAAGAAGTCTTTAAAAACCTTTAAGAAACCAATGACATTTTATTCGCTTAACAACATAAATTAAACTTAGTCTTTCAGCAAATAGATGATACCTAAAAAGAAGTCTATTTACAAATGGATAAACTTTCTAAGGAAGTCAATCAAAAAACTGAACAAACCTTAAACATTACCAAAGATGCTACCAAAAAAGTAGATCAGTTAATCAAAAAAGTTCAGCAAATGCAGAATGACTTAGAAAACATTGAAGAATAAGTCCAAAAAAACAAAGAATAAACTAAAAAATTAAACAACAAGCCAAATAAACCAATCAACGCTTGGACAATCTCTTAAAAATCCAAGCCTTGTGTAATTTTTCTCAGAAACAGTCTAACTTTGACAAAATTAAAAAGTCCTTAGAACTCAAAGCCAAAGAAGCAAAACTAATTGCTACTCTTAATTTACTTAAAGAAACCAAAAATTTAGTCCATTTATCTACTAACAAAGAATGATTAGTTAGCATTAAATCCAGAACTGAAACAGAAATAAAAGACTTTAAGGGTATGCTCTTAGACTCTAATTATTTCTGAGCCAAACAATACAGCTAAGAACAATTACAAGAATGAAGTTAAGACACTCGCTTATTGGTGAATATGAAAAAGCCCAATTATTAAGTGAAGATTAAAATAAAAAAATACTCAGCAAGAACAAGTTCAAGCTAAAGAATAAGAAGGAGAAGATATTTCAGTTTCTGAACAAGCCCAACAAGTTTTAGAAGAAGTCAATAAAGTTCAATCGCAAATCTTACAGCAATTACAAGCCATTCAGAAAGAATTAAAAACTAATCTCTCTGAAGTAGAATCAGCCTTACCTCCCTCAACCCCACCTCCAAAACCTTCGACTACCACTGCCATCGAAGTTATTAAGGTCAAAAGTAAAGTTAAAATCAAGAAAAAAGCCTTAGAATGACAAAAGCAAGAAGAACAAAAAGCCAAAAATAAGTAGAAGCATAGTAAACATGAGGCTCAACAAAATCCTACTCCTACCAATAAAAAGGCTACTCAATTAGCCCAAAAGCAAGTTCAGGAAGAAGCAAAAGAAATTAAAAAAGCTGAGCAAACCCTCTGTCAAGCCCAAGAAGAATTATTTTTCTTAGAAAAAAAGCAAGAACTTGAAGAAGCCTTAGAAGAAAAGGAAAAGAACTCAAAGAAAATCAATCTGAAGAAATTAACCTCTAATGATAACAAATTCAAGCCCAATCTCAACAAGCTTTAGAGGAAAATAAAGACCAAAAAAAACTCAAAGAAACCAAAGAAGAAGAATTAGAAAAAAAGTTAGAAGAACTAGTCCAATAACTTCAAAAATAAGAAGTTACTTAAGCAGCCAGTCAAAAAACTATAACCCGCTTTATGCTCTTTTTAATTATTTTCTTAATAGAGTATATCGTTTATAAAAAGAATGGTTTATCAGGACTAATAGTTTTAAATATTATTCTCTTAATTTGCTACTGATACAAAGACCGAATTATGGAATATGCTGATTTATAAAGTAGTTATCTCTTAATTATTGCTTATGTGGTTGGCAATATCTTAACTTATAATTCGGTCAAAAATCCTGATTACAAAATGCCCATGGTTTACAGCTTTAATACTGTAGTAGATTTAGTTTATGCTTATACTTACTGATAAAGATGAGGAGTAAAACAAAAGGCTAACTAAATTTACTAACAACAAATAGATAAATTACGCTAAGAATTCAAAATAAATATTGAAAAATGAGAAAAAATTTATGCTAAAACTATTTCTTCCGCTTTTAATACTTAAATAGATAAAATAAAAAGCATGGTTAACCAAAGCGAATACAATATTTATTCTAATGACTTAATTCTTCTTAAACAATTTTTTATCATTCTTCTTGAATAATTTCTTATTGTTCTTCTTGAACGATTTTTTTATTGTTTAAGTTGAACAATTTCTCATCATTCTTCTGAACAATTTTTTTATTGTTTAAGTTGAACAATTTCTCATCATTCTTCTTAACGATTTTTTTTATCGTTCAAGTTGAATAATTTCTTATCATTCTTCTTGAACAATTATTTTTCTATAGAACTGCAATCCTAGAACTGCAGTTTTAGGACCTGATCTTAGAATCCAATTCTAGGACTCAAATTCTATAGACTAGGAGTTTCAGAACCAGACTAGGATCAGACTGGATTTTAACATCCCTAAAAATAATACTATTTCAAGTCAATTCAAGTCAACTCAAATCAAATCGTGTTTAAATTGAGTTGAGTTAAATATTTACTCAACTTGAATTTGGCTTGACTCGCAAATCATCGAGTCAAAAAAATATAAACTCAACTTAATTTAAACTCAACTTAGCTTATCTGACTCATGAATTAACTCGACTCATCTGGAACTCTAGCTATAAATATTCTTTTGGTCAGAAAAATATTTTCTAATGCGATTCTGATTTTTAGAATATTATTATTGTTAACATGTCTTTACTATATCATGCAACTTTATTAACATCATGTAAACAAATAGAAGATAGCTCAACAATTTCATCTCTATAAAGGAAATTGTGTATTTATTAACCATTTTTAGGTTAAGACCTGATTTTATTTATTATGTATGTTAATAATTTAGTATAGAAATTTTATGTATTTAAGTTACGTCTGATATACATTTGTTTTTTATCTCTATATCAATAAAGTTTCTCTATGACTGTGTAGTCTCAGAAATTGCAATCACATAATTTTTTATTTTTGAATATTAACATACTAATACTACATTACGCAAGCATGCAATCTGAAATAAATGGTCCTAGTAAGACTGATTTGTTAAAATGATTCATTAGTGAGCTTAAGATTGAGAATAATAAAATTAAGGCTAGAGTTTACAAAATTGAAAGACAAGCTATCGTAAAATGAATTAATAAAAAACATTATCTGTATCACAAAAAATATGATTATGTATTAATTTGGCGAAATTTCAGCCAAAGCATTCCTACTAAAATTATATGAATTTTTTATTCAGTGGATCAGAGTTAATGCAATATATTTAATATAGGAAGGCAGAATTAATATTATGCAATTTCATGGTAATGGCATGGTATTGATATGATATTTTTTTTAGATCTAATAGTACAATATATTATTTGATACAGTATTAGCACAGTATTTCTTAAAAATAGTTATAATGCAATTTTTAGACTATCTTAACAATCACTTTCACGTAATTTTGGTTAAAATTATTCCACAGTAGTTATCTGCATGATTCTAAGCCATATCCAATATATAGTCATTCAATATGTAATGACTTATCTTTTACGCTTCTGCCACTCCCCTTTCTATATAATAGCAATAATGTAGTTAAGAAAAGTATATAATACCATAGTCTCTAGAGACCTGAATCCCAAAAAAATAAAAAGCTTTTTACAATGTGAACTGATGAGCAACTTCAAGTCTTAATCGACAACTGTAGGGAATGAAAAGAGAATTTTCTGGAAGAAAGTCTTCACAAAGATCAACCTTTGATTTGGAATATCTTATACTGGTATGCGTTGTAGGAAAAAATTTAAGAGTCTTAAATGTAATTGTAAAGTATGTAGAAATCCTTCTGAAATCTCAGCCATATACAGTGCCTGATGCCAGATTAATTTATCTTTTCTATTTAGCATATAGAAGCATATATTGATAATAAAGCTAATAGAAAAAGGACTAAGAACGGCCTCAAGTATTATGAAGAATTCAAAGAACAGTTCTGAAAAATATCAGGTAAAGATTAGTTAATCAGAGAAAGAAATATTTATGAGAAGATATACTAATCCCTAATACTTTATTTTACTATAATAATTGACTATGATCGGCTCTGTGAACAAAATATTGCAAAAAAACATCAAACCTCACCACTGCCATATAAAAAAAATAGAGGTTTTACCTCATAAGTACTATCACTACACTCGTAATGATAGGAATAATTATATCTAGCTATTAGTATTTTTGCTATAGTTATTTTATATTGCTAGAAATCACCCAATACTTGTATAATATGAATACTAATTATAATAAAAATAATATCATCATTTTTGAAGGAAAATTAACTAAGAGACGCTTTGCATGAATTAGCTTAAACATTTTTTTCCCTGTGTTTATGCCTAGCTTCTATCTCCTTCTGCAGATTAATAGAGTATCAAACCTTAGGCGAATTGCAAGAGAATCATCTTTCGACTTAGTGAGATCAAATACAATAAATTCACCTCTTCAAAGGTAGTTATTAATGACCATAAATGTATTTTTACATCATCAATATAGCGCCTAATAATTTTAGAAATATCTTCATGTGAGCTATCAGAGTTAAAAAATATTAAGTATAAACTGTTCTCACAAATGAATATAGGGATTTTGTGGTATTTTTGCATTACATATGGAATTTTTGCAATAGAAAAGGGGGAAACGGCTGGAAAAAATAAGAAATGAGTTAATGCTAAATCTGAATATATTTTGACCTAAAAATCATATTTGGCATATAAAAGTAAAATTGATTTATTCCGGCAGTTTCTCCCCTTTCTATTGCAAAGGTCCCATATATGCATGAAATATTCTGATGTTACCCATTTCTAAAAAATTGGCCAATTTGATTTTGTATATATTCTGAGGCTAGACATATATCCTCAAAAACAATTACTGTACTTTATTCTGGTGAAAATATTCTAACACTAGGTATTTTTTATGACAATATATAGCTAAAAGTAATATTTTCATAGTAAGGTGCTTTTGGATCTTTTGAAATTATGCCATATATATATCTTACAAATACCCACTTCAGCTCATCAGAATAGTAACTAGCAAACTATCAAAATCATCACATGCAATATATCTAGAGCTACCTTTTTTACCTTTATATATGCATTCAGCTTTAGTACCAAAAAAAAGATTTCTTAAAATATTAGTCTTACCTGTACCACTTTTTCCGTTAACTAATATTAAGAAAATCTATGATAGACTTGCAGGATGAGATTGAATTCAGGATGATCCATACTTTGTGGCCTCATCCATATTCATAAGGTAAAGTTTCATAGAGAGTAGTCCTGTCTTTTAGTTCTTCTACGTATCAGATTAGAAATCCATAACTATAGAGGGTGATCATGAATACCCAAACAATTAATTAAACTATTTAAATATACTTATTATATTAACTTTTTTTTAGAATAAGCAAAAAATTTATTTGTTCTGAACATTTCCTATATATTTTATTAAAAAAAAATAAAAAACTAATACTTTGTTAAACCACCTTCAGCTGCTATACATACTTGAATGCGACGGAGCATACTTTCATCAAATTTTGAATATACTCAAGTAGAATTGAATGCCAAGCATATTTTACCTTACGTTCTAAATCTTCCACATTTTTAAGTTGATTAGGCAAGTTACAAAGTTTCTTATCAACTTCATTTCAAAGATTTTTAATAGGATTTAAATCAGGGCTTTGTGCAGGTCAGAGTAGTACAGAAATCTTAAAGGCATTATGAACATCAGTAGCAATCTTTGCTCAATAAGGTGAGGCATTATCCTCTTGAAAAATTCCTTGTTTGCGAGAAACTAATTTGTAAATTGAAGGAATAGCATGCCTTTGTAACACTTTTGTATATCTTTGTCCTATTACAGATTCACGAAGAGGAACAAGAGGTCCTAGCTCATACCACGAAAAGTATTCCCAAAACATTCAACTAGGACTGTGTTTTACTGTAACAGTTAAACAAGAAGGGTCAAATTCTTCTTTTGGTATACATCACATACATAAGCTATAACCTTATAAAAATTGGCTAAATGTTGATTCATCAGACCATACAACTTTCTTTCATTTTACAATTGTCCAATCTTCTCATTCTAATGCCTAAGCCAATCTTTTTTCTTTATTATTTTCAGAAATTAATGGTTTAGAGTGGACAACACACAACTTTTTTAAGAGTCCGACGAATTGTAACAATTGAAACTTTCTTTTTTTTTAGTTTATAATTCTTGAATTTTTTGAGTGGTAAGGCAACGATGTTTCAAATTTTGTGTAATAATCTTTTTGAGTGAAGATTGTGCATTTGAATTAAAAAGTGACTTCAGGCTACAACGTTTTTTTGGTATTGCGGAACCAGTTTCTTTAAAATGTTTTATTACATCATGGACAGTTGTTTTACCATATTGTATAATGTCAGCAATTTTTTGATATGAATCACCTCATTTGTAGCCGTAAAGAATTGCCCCATATTGTTCAGCATTT